CAGATTAACAGCGATGGTGTGGTGATGAGTGGAAAAAAAAAACACCTGGTCTCCTTACATTCAGCCACCCTTTTATCATCTCCTCAATGAGGTGGTCTCAAAAGTCGCAGTTGCAACACACATAGGGCGCACCGCACCATAGGGCGCACTGCACATTTTGAGGGGAAAAAAGACATTTATGTGCGCCTTATAGTCGTGAAAATACGGTATGTCTTAGAACTTTTAACATGACTAGAAACCCCAATTTACAATTAATACAATACAAAATCCTCCACAGAGTGCACTATACAGGTCAAAGATTATTCAAGATGGGTTTGGCACAATTTAACATCTGTCCACAGTTCATACGCAATCATCTTGATATTTATATTCATGCGTTATGGTTATGCACGCCGGTTCAGAGGTTCTGGGTACTGGTATGTAAGGACTTATCACTGTGCCTGGGTTGTAAAATCTCACTTTCTCCTTCAGTTTGCTTGCTGGGTGACTTTGAGGGAAGCTCTATGAAAAAAAAATCAGTTTGCATGGCTTTCACTGTTTTACGTGTCGCAAAGAAAACTATCCTCATGAATTGGAAAAGTAAGGATAACCTCAGCATCAATCAGTACAGAGATCTGTTGTTGGATCATATTAATCTTGAGACAGCATCTGCACCCTATCAGACCGATCTATCTGGGCTCCCTTGATTGGCTCCATCAGTGGAGTGAGGGATTGTGGGACGCGTTTTGCGGGGTGTGAGGGCTGGTTCTGGGGTCCCTGGGTCCTGGGGGGTGCCTGGTGGGTCTGACTCTGGAGTCTGTTGCCCCCATCTGGGCAGGGCTTGGGATTAATCAGGGCGTCCTACAGTGGCCGCTTGCGGTGGTCTTGGGGGATTCCATGGCAATGGACATGGATTACTGGCCTGGTAGCTGAGCTACCACTGGATGGGTCGAGGGTTTGGGGTCCCTGGTATGTGTTGCCCTCGGGCGTAAGGGGCTCGGGTTCTGTGGGGAATGCTGCTTTGGTTCTGGGCCGGTGTATGCCTGGTTGTCCGGCCCTGCCAGGGCCTCTGGTGTGCTCAGGGGCCTCGGGGCCTGTTGGGGGACATGGACATTAACATCTTATGGCAGATGCTTACCCCTTGAGGGGTTTGCACTCTGCTAGTGGGGAAAGGGGAGGGAGGGGGAGTGGGAATAATCCCAGCCTGGTTGTCTATCGTCGTTTGTGTGGTGAGTGTTTTGAATGTTAACGTTGGGGAGGGATTACATTTCGGGGGGTGGGGGTAATGTGGAGGTTTGAAGGGCTTCGTGTCTGGCCCCTTGTCTCAGTCCTGGTCTATGCCGTTATCTGGTGCAGACTTCGTCCCGGGTGGGGGTTCTGCATGGTTCGTGCGGGCTGGCCAGCCAGGGTTTTTTTCTTTGTTCGGGAAACCAAGAGGTATGGTGGATCCCCAGACTCCTCCCTCTGCTATCACACTGCCACTCATGTAGAATCTTGGGGTTGACGTCCCCACGTTCTCATGACACTTTCATCTACAACATTTTGACAGCACACATCTAGGTAGGGCATTGTCTGGGGGGGTGGGGATAAGAACACTGGGGGGGCTTATTTCGTGGGCCTCACCTCACATGGCTCCCCCTACCCCCTCTCACAGTTAGACATTGATTCATTAATACTACTTATACTTCAGCGATAGTATCAAGGTGTTTATTTATTGTATCTCTTATAGTATATCCTTTGGTTGTACTGTTCTTTTTACATCTCTTTGCAGGTGATGAAGCAAACTGAACAGGTTTTATTATTATCTCCCCTTTTACTTCCTCTTTCTTTCATCTTTACTTTCATCTTTATTCTTTTCTACTTACATTGCAGTGTCCATATAATCTAGAATAGTCCCTGCATGAATTATAATAAAGATTTGTATGTAATCGTTTCTGCACTGATTCTGGCCTGATCACTCAGTCCATACACCTGCTCTGCTCCTCCCGTCCGCAATCAGCTCTGACTGGATTCACCTGTTTCCAGCAATTTATAAACACTATCAGATCAGTCCTCAGTGCCAGGTTATCTCGAGCCAACCCGCTACGAATAGTCCAGCATCTAAAGATTTCCTGATTGTCTACCTGTTTCTGACCCGATCTGCCTCCTGATACCGAGCCTGCCTGACCCCTGTCTGATTCTGCCTGCCTGATTACCCTCTCCGCTCTGCCTCTGGATCCCCGGATCTCTGATTCATTCTGACTGCTCCCCTCTCTCTGGATCACAGACTCGGAAGAGCTCTGCTCAACTGACTGCCTCCCCGTCCTGGATCAAAAAACTGGTAAACCTCCCTCGATCCGCCCGCCTCTGTCTCATTATAGAATAATCTGGCCAACATGGATCCATCACCAGACGATCAGTGGCGTGCTGGCGTGGAGAGATCTATTTCTCAGTTAGAGGCGGGTGTCAGTGAGATCCTCTCACACCTCCGTGACCAGGCTCCCCCAGCCACGTTGCTTCCGCTTCCGTCGGCGCCAGTCAGCGTGTCACGCTCGGCTACACCGCCGCTGTCAGAACCACGCCTTACCCCACCTGTACTGTTCAGGGGTGATCCGGACCAATGCCGAGCATTTCTCACGCAGTGTGAGATTCAGTTTGAGTTACAGCCATCAGCATACCCATCTGACCGCTCCAGGGTTGCATATGTTATTTCCCTGCTGGCTGGTAAGGCAAGATTATTGGGAACTTCTGAATTGCAAAATGACTCCGACATCTGCCACTCATATGACGCCTTCTCCCAGGAAATGATCACAGTTTTCAGCCCCGTGCTACCATGCCGGGAATCCACGAGGGGGCTCATAACCCTCAGGCAAGGTGATAAGTCTGTTGCAGAATATGTTATGTCTTCACTACGGGACTCAATGAAAAGATAAAAGATGAGCTTGCCACAGCTTCTTTCCTCCCAAGCACAGCCAATCCTGAACCCATGCAATTGGGGAGGAGCAAGCTGTCTAGTGAGAAGCGCCATCGCAGGCGTCAATTAAACCTCTGCCTCTACTGTGGATTTCTTTGTTCGGATATACAGTTATCTTCATTCTGTTCGTAGCAAGGATTTGGAATGAATGTCTTTCTGCTAAGAACAAAGTATTAAATTTTGATACGGCTGGAGCCATGGATGTCTAATCATCTTCCAACATGTATGATGTTAGCATGTAATGATGTGGCAGGCTGGAGATGTATGAAATGCCCTTTTAACTGTTAATCGGGGCCACTTCCTGAAAAGTGAGCCTGGTGATGAGTAGCTGCCTTCTGAATATTCTAAGCATTTCCTCTGATCTGAGTAAGATTCAAATTTCTATTGGAATCTGTTGTCATGTCTCATGGTTATTTAATACACATTAGTTATGAAGTTTTATTTAAAGAGTTTGTCCTGAGAGATCTCTTTTCAGGAAAGATGAACCAGAGATATAGAGCTTCAGTAAGGTGAAGACACAGAGACATCTTTAACAAAATAAATGACCCATTACTATTATCCATTGCAGATATAATAGCTTAAAATGTAACTTAGTGAGACATTGAATGCAAAAAAAGTGGTAAAAATTAAAGATATTTTCAAAAATTAATAAATTAGGTATATAAAACTGCCTGCTCACTGAACCCTCCTACTCCTGGGTGTGATGTGTGGTTACTCACTTTTACACATTTACACATTGGTGCAGCTTTTTTATGAAGCGTGTCTGACGCTCTCTGTCAGAGCTGCCAGAGCAGCAGCTGGTAGCTTCTCTAATCAGAATTACATGTGGATCATTATTTATGCAACCTGGATTACTTTAGCTGTATTTAAAATGATATCTGGGGGATGTCAACATATCTCCTCCTCTATGGAAATATGGGATGGCTTCCAAGCCGGATAGACTGGAGAATTGGAGCAACTTTAGAGCAAGTTTATTATTATATCAGATAATGGAGTAACCAAAAAATCTTTAAGTGCAAATTGAGAGATATACAGCTGAGATATAATATTAACATGACAGAATATATCTTACTTAAAAGCTTATATGTGTGACTTAATTTCTGTTCCTAGGTTTAGTGATGATGAACATGAATCAAGATTTACAACAATAGAAGAAACACTATGAAAAAACATGTTTCACTTTGATAAGAGAAATCAATAGTGCAAAGATTAAAAACCTTATTTTTTTGTACGCAAATCAGCTCGACTAGTATTTATTTAAAACATATTTTCATATAACTGAAAGTCAAACAGGTTAATTGGGATAATAGTTGCTCTTTCCTGGTTTTAGCATTTGGTGTAAAAACCCAAACTCTGTCAGTACTTACAAAGCTTTGTTTGAAGCTTTGACCACAGGCAGCAGCCTGAGAAGAGCCTCCTCTGAAGTAGAGTATTTCTTCAGGTCAAACACCTCCAGATCTTCTCCTGATGTCACTAAGATGAAGGCCAGAGCTGACCATTGAGCAGGAGACAGTTTATCTGTGGAGAGACTTCCTGATCTCAGAGACTGTTGGATCTCCTGGACCAGAGAACGATCATTCAGTTCATTCAGACAATGGAACAGGTTGATGCTTTTCTCTGCAGACAGATTCTCATTGATCTTCCCCTTGATGTACTGAATTATTTCCTGATTGGTTTGTGAGCTACTTCCTCTCTTTGTCAGCAGACCTTCTAGGCGAGTCTGATTGATCTGCAGTGAAAGACCCAGGAGGAAGCGGAGGAACAAGTCCAGGTGTCCATTTGGACTCTGTAAGGACTTGTCCACAGCACTCTGATGGAGATTTCTTGGTTTCATAGTCTTAGATAATTCAGAAAACAGACAAATGTTTATTTGATCTTCCATCAGGTTGATTCCATCAGTGATGAAGGTCTGATGGACATGAAGAGCAGCCAGAAATTCCTGGACACTCAGATGGACAAAGCAGAAAACCTTCTCCTGGTTCTGGTACAGCCCTCTCTCCTCTCTAAAGATCTGTGTGAACACTCCTGAGTAAACTGAGGCTGCTGTGATGTCGATGCCACACTCTGTCAGGTCTGATTCATAGAAGATCAGGTTTCCTTTCTGCAGCTGATCAAAAGCCAGTTTTCCCAGAGACTCAATCATCTTCCTGCTCTCTGGACTCCAGTGAGGATCTGTCTCTGCTCCTCCATCATACTTGACCTTCTTCACTTTGGTCTGAACCACCAGGAAGTGGATGTACATCTCAGTCAGGGTGCTGGGCAGCTCTCCTTCCTCTCTGGTCTCCAACACATCCTCCAGAACCGTAGCAGTGATCCAGCACAAGACTGGAACGTGACACATGATGTGGAGACTTTGAGATTTCTTCATGTGGGAGATGATCTTACTGGTTCGCTTCT